GAGGGGTGCTGGGGCTTTTCCCCTGCAAACCTCTCTCGTGTGGGGGTCTGGCTGCAGAGGAGTTCAGCTCAGGTCTGTCAGGATACTCGTGCTACCTGCGCTGCAAAGGAGAAAAAAAAAAAAAAAAACCACCTCAAAACCCCAAAACTTTCTCTTCTGTGGGTAGATAGTAGTTCAAATAACTAAATAAATTGTGATTTGTGGTCAAAAAAGCCCCTAGCTTGTTGGAGAAATGTATTCAACCTTTAGTAGTCTTCATTCTGCCGTGATCTATTTTTTTTTTTCCCTCTTCCTATGTCTTGTGGGGGACCGGCACGGATTTTCATTTCATCTCGATGTAAGAAATAAAATTTTTACAGTGAGGAGAATCATTCAGTGGAACAACCTCCCCAGGGAAGTGGTAGGGTCTTCATCACTGGAGGTTTTCAAGACACAACTGGACAGAGAGCTAGGCAATCTCATCTGGGCTCCCTTTCCCACAAAAGGTTGGACCAGAGGGCCTTTTGAGGTCCCTTCCAACCTGGCCTCTTCTGACTGTGGGATTTTACCCATTAACGTGTATTAAGGTGCTTTCAAAGGTTATTTTAAACTTGAAACAGAGGGTGACAGAGAAGGCAGAACTCCAGAGTGGATAAGTATTTCTATTTAACATACTTGGAAGGGGAGAGGGTGAAAATGGTTAGTTCTGCTTGAATAAAGTAGGTGGCAGAAGCATAAGATGATGCAGAGTTATCTCTCCATGATGAAAAAGGTGAAGCTAAATCTTACAGTTTTTTGGAGTTTAGGCTGTAGCTTGTAAAAGCCTTTTGGAAGATAAATGACGTCTGAAAAGCAACTGGCAAATGTATTTGGCATAGTAGAACTAATTTAAGATCTTAAAAAAGAAAAAACCCTGGGTTTCCCATTGTGGGGGGAAAAAAAACCCCAACCAACAAAGAAGCAAAAAAACCCAACACCAAAAGGCCTTTGGAAGTATTAAAGAACACTATCAGAATATGCATTTGGGTTTTTTTTTCGGTATTAACAGTTGCTTTACTTTTCTAGTTTATATTTCAGTTCTTTGTACGTTCAGCACTTCAAAACGATATGTAGCACATTCTGTAGGCATTATTTAACATCTGATACAGCAATAAATACTGCTGTCACTTTTGTAGCCTTTTTTTAAAAGAACTGAATTGAGTAGACAGATTGTGCTCGATGATAACTGCTAAGTCCCACAGTGCAGTGTAGCATTTTGCTGACTTAGAAGCTTGGATCTACAGGTGGTATACCATGTTTGCACGATCATAAGTGTGGTCTTCCAGCTCATGTACTTGATATTTCTGATCGGGGGCATGATACCCTATAAGTGGTGCTGTGTAATGCTTCCACACCTGACTAGACTTGTGTCCAGTTGGCATGGCATTTCTGCACTGTGTCCCCAGGCCTTTTGATTCCTTTAACTCCTTGGAGAGCACGCTTTGGCTTTCTGCACCTGGATCTGATACAACTGAAAGGTCATCATCCATCTTTAACCACTGAATGATAAAGCTGTGAACTCTTTAATGACTTTTTTTACCATTTTAAGTTGAAAACGTAGTTTACTGTGTGGAATAAGGATGTTTTCAATTTGCTTTTATTTATAAAATGCTCTGCAGGGTGAGTCTTGATGGTTTAGGAGAGAATTGAACTGCATGTTAAAACTGTAACTGCTGAAACAAACATTCATTGGCTTTGTTTTGGTGAGGTGTTTTGCCAGATGAGAAGCAAGGGTGGCGACCCTCTTAAATTCAGGAGACCGAAAGCACCTTTAATTTGTACAAGCTCTTACCATTACCATGGAGGGAGTTGAAAAGGTCCCGATGTGTTTGGAAATAGGTTTGCAATTTGCTTGCATGGTAAGGGCCTTTGGAGTGAAAATACATAGAAAGCACATACTTGAGTGTTTGTGAGGACAAGGTCTAAGCTTGTTCTGAGTAACTGTTGCCAGTGTCCATAACCTGGAGTTCCTGGTGCTAGCTGAGTATTTCCCAGCTGCCACTGGGCAGTCTTCTCAAATAGCTGTGTTATTAGGAGCAACTCCTTTTCGCATGTGGCCGAATGCGATGTGACAACTTGCTGACAAAAAGCCAACAAAGAGATGGGTTTCACGCTGTTCAAGATGCTTGGCTTTGGGTGGCTTGTTTGTTTGTTTTTTCTTGCTTTCCTGGGGTGAGGGCTAGTTCTGTAGGAGAATCCTGTGTTGTTATGCTGGTTCTAATCAGTGTTTCTGTCATCAGCATAAATCACAGGAAATAATGTTTGGAGTGAGAGGTGATCTGCCACAGAAGTGACTCTGCTTATGAAGTGCCTCTTAACATTCAGTGTCAGAGTCAGACCCTGCTTGGTTTTGAGCATTATATGCGCCCATTTTAATATATGCATTACCTCGTGTCCCTCCCATGTGGAATACCTATAGGCATGAATATTTCTGTAATACCTGTTTTTGTGTGGCTTTAAATCTCAAGAGGGCAGCTGTATAATTTGACCAAGCATTGCTTGTTACAACTGTCTACTGCTTGCCACTTTCTTTAGAGACCCCAAAGGTTTTAGAGTTGTGTGCTCTATCTATTTGTACCTTATGCTGATAAGAACACATGCTACTGTTAAAAGAAGCTGTTGTGGCCACTTAACTCCTACTTGGTGTTTCACAGATGTGAAACAGAACAAGGTACTGATCTGAATTAAAACTAAGGCAGGTCCTTCTGCTCTTTTTCTCTAGCTCGGTGGGACAGCGTTTTGGCAGCTGTATACTAATATTCACGCAGGTTTGAAGCCTGTATCTTAGCCACCCTCATGCTTGCTGAATTCTGAGTAGGAGTCCAGTCAACTTAGCAAACAGAGTTACTGTACTTAGCGATGCACTGTGGCAGCTTTGGAAGACCTGCTGTCTTGTAGCACAGAGAAGAACTTAGTAATAAGGGGGGAATTGGAGATGCTCTTTCCAGGCTTGTGCATTGAGTCATTGTCATTTTTATTCTGTTGTGCAAAAGTCATAAACTTTTCTCATAGCAAGTATAATACAATTATTTTGATCTGTATACCCAGAGATTCCCCTAAAAAGGGGCTACTTTATGCTTATTTCCATTATGCAGCAATATTTCTTTTGAGCCCTGTGCTGCATAAGTCTTTTGTTCTCCTGCTTTTGTGCTTGGCATAAACCGGAACAATCTCCTATGCTCAATAATATAATGTAATGTGGTATTTCATCATGTGTTACAATGCTTGGAGCATGTTATCCCTGCACAAGTGTTTTGACATGCTGCATGTTGGTTTCCAAGTTCCTGATACTGCAGTGCTTCCTCAAATATAGCAGACCTGTATACAAATATGCTGAGAAATGTAGGAAGGTCTTTGGAATATAGGGTGTCACCTGTGCATTAGACTTCATGTTTAAGGCATTTGAAAGTCCCCTTTCCCTCTCAGTAAGAAATAGGCTTCTTGAATTTGATATAATTCGCAGGTTCCTTGTACTTCATGCTCTGATGTTTAAGATTCGTGAATGAGAACTGAGCAACAGCTAAACATTCATGCCAGCTCAGGATATTTTCTTCTGAAATATCTCTTATTTGACAGAGTTTGGTGTTGTATTTTTATGTGGAATTCTGAGGTGCCATTTCATGTTTTTCTATGTGTCTTTACAGGAACTGACAATAGCTTTGGAGAACAATCCAGATGATGCCGAATATTATTGTCAACGAGCTTATGCTCATATTCTTCTACAGAAATATGCTGGTAACATCTTCAGACAACACAGAATCCTCTTACAAGTGTATTATGACACATTCTTTACAGAAGATGTCTTCAATCTGCAGCCAAATATAGTAATAACAGAAAGTGTTATCTGTAACTTAATATGCTGCTTCTACAGTTAGGGTGTAATTTTATAGTTCTGTTTGTTTTGTTTCTGCAAAACTTCCAATGAATTCGGTACTCTGCAGTCCCAGCTTTCTGTTTGATTGTAGCCTAGTATTGGCAGCTTTTTTTTTTTTTTTTTTTTTTTTTTTTTAAAGCAGACTTCTTAGGCAGATTTTAAGCTTTGTGTTGTAAGCATCTTCCCTCTTTATGTTTTTGCTAGAGACTGAATCCTGTCGTGGTAGGAATGTGGTAACTGAATAACGCCTGGGAAAAAGATTAACTGAATAACTAAAGATGTGATCTGTTTTTTCTTTCCAGTAAAAACCAAACAGATTCACACTTCAGATTTAAGTAAGGGATTTGACTAAATGAAAGTCATGCTTCATCTTATATAGAGCTCTGTAGCTGAATGAAGGGCTCATCCATAGCAGTTGCGGCTAGATTTAATTCAAACAGTGTTATTTGTGTGCAAGTTAAGAAAGCTAACATAGTACACCTTAAAAAAATTGCACTACTAAAAGACTCACAGTTCACTGCTTTTTGTAACACATTATTATGTTCCTCGCCTTTAAACTGATTTCCAACAGATGCAGTTGCAGATGCAAAGAAGTCCCTAGAACTCAACCCCAATAATGCTGTAGCGCTCCTTAGAAAAGGGTACGTATCATATATTATGCTTTGGGCATATTGTAATAATCTGTAGGGCAATACTAGTACATGGATTATGGCTCTGTACAAACTTTCTGCAACACTACGAATGAATAAATGTAATGCCATACCGCTTGTAACCCATCCATAATAAACCTGTGGTTATAAGAAGCAATTGAATTTGGGCTGACTATCTTGACGTTCTAGCCATTTCAAAAACACACCTCTTGGGCAATTTAAATTCTTACATGTGTAATTTTAACCAATACAGTGTGTAAACTAAGCATGTTGTGTTCTTCAGAATGTGGATTAGATTGAAAAGTAATTACTGTTTCCTTGTGTTTTTCTTTGTTCATGTCAGGTTAGGTGAATATCATATTAAAAACTATGCATCTGCTTTAGAGTCTTTCAGAGAGGGACAGAGGTTGGACAGTAAGTATTAAAATTTCTTGTGTGCACAGTTCCCCTTTGCTAATGAGAAGTTTTTCTTAATGTGCTAGTGAAAGTGAAGACCAAGGTGCGCTTTTTTTTTTTAAAGTCTAATGAGGTAGGTGCCTGACTTGAGATGTCTGGCTTTGGGAAAGTTTGTGTGATCACTGCATGAAAGTGTAGAACTGCTTAAAACTGTGTATCAAAATTCTTAGCAAGTAATATGTGATTTTTATTTTTTTTTTTCTTTGTATGTATCAAAATTCTTAGCAAGTAATATGTGATTTATTTTTTTTTTCTTTGTAAAATAGGAGGGTGTTTTCCTGCTTCCTGGAGGTCTTGGTTGCAATGGTGTGGCGTTAAGCATCATAGAAATGTTTCTGAACAGAATAAGCTCCTTATATGTAGCTGCAACTTCTTAGTAGTTAAACAATTTGATAGACTGGTCTTTAGAAAGAATATGCAACTTGATGGGTATTCAAACTGACAAAATGGATTTTTACCTCACATTAGATATCACTTAATTACAGAAGCATGTTTATTATCTATTTTCTTAAAGTGTTGGCTTCCTGGCTGGATTTGCACACGTTTTAGTTTGGGGAGAATTGGAGCTTTTTTTAAAATCTGAGTTTCTTCTAGCAGCAGGAAAGGAGTAATTCAATACAGAAGCCTTTGGTAGAAGACATAGGGAAGCATACAACAAAGCAATTGCAAGATGGCCATAACTCCTTTCTCTTCCTATACCCCATTTAAAACAAAACCCTCTCCTCGTTCCATTCCCTCCTTCCCCACAGCAGAAGAAAATGGTAAGAAAAGCACTTTGAAAGGTTACACAGAGCAAAGTGCACTAATCTGATAAGTGTTGTCATGATCTCAGATCTTTCTAGTACATTGTCTTATCTGTGACAGTGGCTGGGACCTGAAGGTTTAGCAAAAATGTAATTACTTTGCCTCCCCCAAATAAGCGATCTGCTTTTCTGATCTAAAACTGGAGTTTCATGGGAGTGTGCTTGCTGCCAAGTGATTGTGCTCCCTCCTGCTCTTGTGCTTGTTTACCCTCTTCTTTCATTGCATTAAATCTGCAGAAAACGGCTATTTTTGAAGTATTTTTCCCCTGGATTAATGTGTTGAATTGGGGCAATGAAGGGTCTGAGTGCTGAAGCCAGCAGAAGTGAAGCAGCAGAGCAGTGCTGGGGCAGTGGTAGTGGAATTGCAGCAACTGTTAGTTGTCAGCTTAGGCTGCTCTGGAATAGGAGTTAAAATACAAGAAATGTCCTAAAGAGCTTTCAGTTTTGGTAGTTTGGATAACTCTGTAGTCTCTGCTGGTTTGTATACTAGAAAGACAAGTGTCTTTCTGGCTATTTAGTATCTTCCCATGAAAAGTGATTCCTTTCAGTGACCTCTGTAGCTTTCCTAACTCGATAGGTGACTTTTCGTACATCTCCAAACTCATCACTCCTGAATTTAATTGAATTATTAATCTATATTTTTTCATATTCTTGCTCCACCCCAAGCAGCCACCATCAGTTTGAGGCTCTTCGTTTGCATGTATTTTGTCACCTTTCTAGTTTGTCAGTTGGAGTTGTTAAAAATACAGATTATACACACAATTACCTCAGGCCAGAGCGTCACTTTTTTTTTCATTCTGTTTAACCTCACATCCTACTTATGTTGTAGGGTGCAACAACACACAGAGCTGTAGATACCTTTTTAGATAAGTCAGTGAATACTAGGACCCTCCTCGCTAATTCAGAATCCCTGAAGTACAGCACAAACTTTTCCTGTGTTGCTTGACTTCTACCTGTTTGAATTTAATTTGCCGTTGTTTTGCTGCTTACCCAGTTGAAGTGTTTCCGAAGCTTCCCAGTCCTTCCTGATGACTCTCATCTGAAGATTGCTTCCTCCATACTTCCCATCTCTCACTACAGAATTCTGGGACCCACTGTGAGATGAGGAATTTCCTGCAGGCCTTTTTAAAAATACACATTTTTAGTTGATTCTCTTCTGTATACTACCTAATTTGCTGGCAAGTTTTTGTCAGTAACGGAATTCGCCTTTGCAGTTATGCGGAATGTTTGATGGATCCCAGATGAAAACAGTTGTGAGCATAAGCATTTTGGCAAAACAATTCACTTCCACTTAAATGCATCTAGTGCAAAATGAATTAAGCACAGAGGGAAAATTTACCACATGCCGCTAAGCAGGTGATGAAGGGAGAAGAGTTTAGCTGTTCCTGCCTCACAGAGGATTGCTGTGGTGGGGAATTCTTTGCTGGCTAGGCTGGTTTCTTTGCCACGCGAGGGGGCAGGAGCACACCAGTACATGTTTTTGTTCCTTGCTGATGTAAGGGTTGTTTTAAATCTTAACTTGGTACGCTAACAAATGATGAGCTTCCTACCTGTGCTGATTACTGGTAGGCCTGACAGGTCCAGGGTACTACAGCAAACTTCCCATTACCCACCTACAGTGATATCTAAATAGGGCTGGACGTGATGAATTGTTGAGTGTACAATGTTTCTTCATTTTATAAAATAACATTAGGAGGCAAATTTTCTTTCACTCAACCATGAGTCTAGACACATGGATTTTTGGAGTTCATTAATTTGCCTTAGATTGAAAAAGCAGTGTGATCTGTTACTCTTCAGTATGTTATGTGGATTTAGGATGATTATACTGAAATTTTCTTTTTTTTTTCTTTCCTGTGACTACCTAACAAATTTAGTAGAGGTGGAATGCGTAAACTTTTTCATGAAACATCTTAGTGGATACTTGTAATCTAAGAGTTAGTAGATTTTCAGTAAGCAAAGACCCAGTCAGGTTTTCTGAACTAGAAAGTTATTAACAGAAGTTGTTGGTAAGTTCCTTGGGAGGATAATGCAATTACAGAGCACAAAAAAAAAA